TCCTTGAAATTATAACAAGCTTCCATCTTACCTTAGGTCTGTTCTCACAAGAGTATCTGACAGTTTGCAAACTGTCAGAAACAATCGCTTAGCTAAGTTGACACAATCGCTTAGCTAAGTTACCGATTTATCTTAGAACGACGGCATTGATGGGCGATGCTTTATAATAGTTCGCAAACTGTCAGGGACTTTTGTGAGAACAGACCTTTTACGACAGAAGGAATATCAAAATGGTATATTACACATCAAGGTGAAAATTGTCTCATTAGTGTCCATAGATAAAGAAGTTAATTATAACATAAGTTCGGCAATAGGCAGAAAAAAAAAATTGTATGACCCTATAAAAACCTTGAAAATACAAAGACTATACAGGGTGTTTCAGAAATTGTGTTACAAACTTTAGGGGTGGATATTGTCAACAAGCAAAACTACTTAGGAAAATATGACACTGTATATAATTGACCGACTTATTGACGAGTCAGCGATAAACGAATATAAATAGTGGTCGGAAGCACACGGAAAGGCAGACTTGAACCAGCGCAATTACCTCTTTTGGGAAAGCTCCTCTAGCCTAAAGTCTCCACCCAGTGCAATTACCTCTTTTGCAAAAGCTCCTCTGAGACCCAGAGTTGAGATAGATCCTGAAGGCAGTAGAAAATCCGAACGATTCGAATATTAACATCGGAGCTAGGAGAAGAGCGAAAAATTTTAGAATCGAGAATGATTTACTATACAAAGTAAACAAAACACAAAAAGACCTCAGTAAGGTACTGGTGGTACCAGAATCAATCAGTATACGTGAGTAGGATGTTGCCTTACGAGGATCAGTGGACAGAAGGCGCTCCTATGGAAGGAGTCAATGCCCAATGGAGATTCAGAAAATAAGATAATTATGGAAAACAGTGCGTCGGAAGTAGAATCCGATAGTGATGAAGAAACAAGTTAGGAGAACTTGGAAAACCAGAAGTAGCAGTGGTGTCCGAAGTCATTAGTATATTCCCGATAAACAGAAATGACAACGGACGACAGCGATCGCATAGCTATCAAAAGGAAAAAATATGTATAAATGGAGAAGAATTGGAGACTGCAGATAGGAAAAAAAAAAAGGAGACGGAGGCCAGCCTAGATTTAAGATTGTTTAGAAATAGGATAGAAAACATAGTTAAGAAGTAAAATCGTAAGGAAAAAAATTACCAGAATTGGTTTCCTTGCAGGTTACTGGTGCGACTGATATCAGCGAATAAAGGCCAGGAGGTGGAAGTATCCGCAGGCGCCACTTGAAAACTTTTACCAGAAACAATATCATATGATGGTTCGATACCACTAACTTACACAGTTCCCTGGCAAGACGACAACAAGAAACCAGCAGCACTAATGGGACACAAATGCGAGGAAACGGAAAAATTGGAATGTAAAATTATAAAACATGTGAAGGAAATTTCGGTAGCAGTAAACAATGAGCTAAAAAGTCTAACAAGTTATTCAAGAATCAAGAATATAACCAAAATAAAGAGTTATCATTGTCGTTCGTAGCAGATGGGCTCAACTGGTGTTGCGGTGTGGCTACCCAACAGAAACTGGATTCAATGGCTATGGATACCGACACTGAATGAATACGGCTGGATTCAGTTACAGAGGGACTCTATTCAACTTTAAAAGCAATAGGGGAACAGTCCGCTTTCATGAAGCAGGAGCACGAGGATATAAACAACGCGCTATGATAACAGATGACAATATAAAAAAATATGCAGTATTATCAAGCTATCAGTAACAACCAATTAGCACAAAAAGAGGCAGCACAGCACACTCTGGCCATGGCATCAATAAAGGATAATGTGGACATATATAGAAAAGTCGTGATACTCATCAGGACGATGAAGAAATAAGATATTTTTCAATCATGCAAACATCATCACATACCAACAGCAATGATACCACCTCTTGAGGAACGATTTGATGAAAATAGAAGAAGAACTCAATAAAAAATCCCATGGATTAACTATGCATACTGAAGACATATCAAAATACTATGAGCTCCCAATATGCAACTGTAGCTTTTGTAACGCTCTTTTGTCGAAACAAAAGAATGCTCATAATTATGCTCGACTATGCTCAGTGGTTCTTTAGCTTGGGGTGGTCCTTGGTGTTGTAAAGAGAGGGCGCCACTAGTTTGTATAAAATTATTTTGATTATCAAAGAATAGCCAACACTATTCAAATAATTAGCTATTATTCAAAAAGATAAATTCAAAAATCTGAAAAGGTAAAATAAATCCAATACCTATCTGACATTTAACCCCTTCAATAAAAGCACAAGTTTTGGAATTCTAAAAACAATAATTTATTGACCAGATGGCGAACTTGTTGTTCATTACCATTGAAACAAATAAATTGTTTAAAGGTGATTATTGTCAGTATCCAATTTAAAAAAAAAGCAGCTTCCCGAAAGCAAAGCCTTATTTAAAAAGGTATACAAAAAGATTGAAATTCAAACCAATTAAGTAGATACCTACGATGAGACTTACCTAAGTGTAAATGTCGAAGTCAAAATAATATTAACCTTCGGTTTTTGACTCAAAGTCAATCAAATCAATAAAAACCAAATTAATCAATGCGAAAAGGTAATAAATAATCCCTAGGCAGTTATAAATATCAAAAACCTGCTAGGTGAAATCAAGGGGTCACGGTTAGTACTTTTACATGAGTCCAAAATATATAAAAATTATACAATAAATATATTTTTGTGACATTTCAAATGTTACACTTTACAGACAGCAAAACTAGTAGTTCACATCAGAATACCAACAACTGAAGAGTTACAGACATACTCTTTCGCATGGTAAAGTCAGACGTGCGTCGTAGAGCATGACACACTGTATATGGCGGTATCCAGGAAGGACCAGGGCATAGATCTGGAAAAATAGAGATAAGGAAATAGAATGAAAAATAGGGATTAGGAATACTCACAAGAAGCATTTCCGGAGCACACTGGGCGATTATCCGTCGGCAGCGCCTAATATTGGATCGAGCTACAAGCCAAAGTTATTTAAAACTTAAATCAACGTATACTTCTACTTGTAGAGATAATAAGGCATATTGCACTGTGAAAAATCAATTGAATTAAAGTTAATTCGGACACCCACAAAGTAGGGTGCGGGAAAATAAAATCACCAGAAACAGCACTTTTTAAATATAAACATTTTTTCTATTTTTCATGTAAGCAAATGAGAAACAACCAGCCAGGGACGTACCAAACCAATGAACAAGAATTTGTCAACCACAAATCTGAACAAGGATTGTTCACTTCAAACGTTGGACCAAGATTGGCTCTGAACTGAGTAGGGGCAATAGTTTCTGAACCTATTGCAACAGGCATAATGGCATAATAAACAAATCAAACGAATCAAAGTACCACCTTCCGGGACCGTATATACCCCACGACATAGCTGATCAATCCGCCAAGAGAAAGAATTCGGAAACACAAAACCGGAACCCGAAATCTAATCCAATCCACATGGTGAAGAAGGATACGCAGAACCGGACCCATTTCAAGAAAAACCCCAAGGCTGAAGCTACGAACTTATATATTTTTTCTGAATTCATCGTTTTATTGTCTGAATAATAATGCACCCGTTCCCATCCCTTAATTTTTATATATGTTGTATATATTTTCAGATTTAAGTATTTTTGTATTATTGAATTTCTGATGGTGGCTCTTCTATAGCATTGGGGTCCAACGCTTTTCAGAGGGGTAGCATATGTCAACAAGCAAAGCAACTTAAAAAAATATGACACTGTATATGATTAACCGACTTTTTGATTGGCAAGTTAGCGTTATCCATGTATAAACGAATATAAATAGTGGTCGGCAACACACGGATAGGCAGACTTGAACCAGCGCAATTACCTCTTTTGGGAAAGCTTCTCTGGCCTCAAGTCTCCACCCAGTGCAGTTTTCTCTTTTGGGAAAGCTCCTCTGGGTGTCTTCAGTCTTCGTGTTGTCCAGTGCGAATACCTCTTTTGGGAAAGTCCCTCTGGACGGCCTTTTACTTTAACACCGTCAAAACTATTTGAGATACGAAAAAATTGCAAGATACCAAAAATCTTCGCAATGAAACGGAGAAACTAGTGGCTTGAAAAAAATTTAAAATGTGCTAAGATAAAGGTGTATATAGTATTTGCCGATTTATGTCTTAAAAATCAGAGTATTGTTCGTCGATTTTAATCTGATACTCGGACGGAATGTGAGCTGGTGGCTCCCTACATTAAAACGCCAATGGTTACCTGACGTCACACCAGTTTTTGCCATATGAAACACCCCCTCGCTCTTCATACCGCAAGTATCAGTTAAAAATCGACGAACAATACCTATCATATTTATTTGATATGGATTTTTTGTACACAAATTAAATCTCCGTTGAAAGTTGTATTACTTTAGTCCAAAAATAGCCGAGCTATGACAGATTCAATGATGCCGTGCCTTGCATGAAAATCTAAACTTATATGTTAGCGGCGAAATGTATCCGCCTGTCATAAATATCTCAGTTATGTAATATATTCGTAGGGTGTTTTATATGTAGCATTTTATTCAAATATTTATTTCACTTTTTCAGGTCAAACATAATTGAAATATAAAACTCCAATATAAAATAATATGAATTCTATTTTATGCTTTTAAAATAAAATAAAAAAATATATATATTTATTCTGGTAGACCAAAGCTAACAAAAGCCGTTTTTCTGCATCGCCTAGTTTCAACATTAAAATCGGAAATCCGGTTAGTGGAATAAATTTATTTTTCAATAAAAATATTAAGGCGAATTGCCTGGACAATTTTTAGACTAGTTATTAAACAAGAAAATCACTTTAACAGTATAAATTCGATTTTTAATCAAAACGCTGAATAGGAAATACCAATAATATTACAAAGCAACTCTCATAACAATATTCGCCATACAATAGACGATAATATTGATTTAATTAACCATCTTCTCGTTTCAGGAATTTAAACGCAGCAGGGAACAACTAGATAAGGATAACGAAGACGATCGAAGGTCCTCGAAAAGGGAGAACAACGGACAGAACAGAACGCCCTCGGTGGAATCCACTAGGTTCGGACCGTCAGATTCCGTGAATACTCCGTGCTACGTCCCAGGAGATGATATTTTACCGATATTAATAAAGAACTCGCATCACACTGTCCCGTCCAATGGCAGCATGTACAATCAAAATATTTACACGGTGGATAATGATATACCGAAAATGTGCGATAGCGCCTGTCAGACTAGAGAGAGTTTGTTTACAACACAGGAGTAAGTATATAGTTTTCAATTTAGAAATTTTCCTCCAAAAATAGGTAGATAAAAATTTTCACAAATAAGGCACCTATAGATTTTTATTTTGAAGCCTTTATCAGAAAAATGTGGTTCTCATGTGTGAGTTAAAGATGTGAAGTGATCTTTAAGGATGCAATTTCTTTCGATCTTCTTTGGATACGAATCCCAAATGCAAATGTGACTCATTCGTTATCATTAAAAATGATTTTTATTTGAAAAGATCCATCTTGATGGTCTTAGGACTTCAAAGTCTCGGTTAGTTGTACTTTATAATATAAGGCTAGCTGAAAGCAAAGACAAATCAATGTGCCTAGATATTCCACGAATCATTGAAAACTTTCTTATAACCCTACAAGCAAGAACAGTGTTTCAACAGACTTTAGGCAATTGTCTTCTCCAAGATTCAGTTGTGCACAATCAAAATTCTAGTAGAGTAGGGTTAGCACTCTCCGAACATGACCCCGGTAACGTTTTTGATCGCCACTTATACAGGGTATATTTCAGTTTTCAAACGTTGAGGGTGGAAAAAAACTACTATGTCTTCACATTTCACGAACTTTAGTGCAGTTGCTAGTTTGAGATGGCTAAATTTTCAAATCACCGCTAAAGTATTTTTTGGCAATCCATTTACTCGAAAGATCAGTGAACAGAACTTGCTGGAGATATTTGGTTTAACAAACTCACTTGGAGATTTCCTAATATTTTAATTTTTGTGTAGCTGTACCTAAGTCATCTTGGCTTAAAGGTGAAATATCTTCGCCACCTCCTAAAACATCCACCATATGTCGGAACTGGGGGTGCGCGTGGATAATTAATAACTGAATACACATTTATCCTCACCAATGATACTTCTTAGCGGACAAGGACACCGTCGTGCATTAAAAACACTGCAATGCTGATCGACTATTCACTAACTCATAGATTACCGTTGCATCTTCCCAAAAACACCATCCATATCATTCGCGATCGATGATTCTGGATCTGGATTTGGTAGAGAGTGTCCCATGACGGGTCACGGCACTTAGGCCCCATTGGACCCTTTGAGAGATCTTCAGATCCTGCCAATCTTTCAGGCCATCGTCCAGCCGAATGTTGTGAAGAAGGCAATGTAGCCTGAAGAAGTTTCCTTCGGCAAGGCCATATCAGGCCTGCGCTATCCCAAAATGGATTCCCTTAGGTCCGAGACGGCATCGCAGTGGCAAAGCAGATGCTCCTCCGTTTCGTCAAACTATTCACAACCTCTGCACAGAGGTGATTCGCTTAATCCCGTTGAATGGAGATGTTTTCTCAGGTGGCAGTGGCCTGTCAGAAACCCTGTGGTGAACAAAGGTTTTTCCTTGACATATCCAGGAACGTTCTTGCTGCAACTTCATTAGGGTAGCCGAGCAGCTAATTGACAGGAAGTAGTCTCATCCGTTCTGGACGTGAAGTCTTCAAGGGTGAAATTATTGATCATCTGAGTAAGAGTAATAAGAGCAGATAGGAAAGACCAGGCCTGGGACTCTGTAAAGAATAGACATGGTTATCGCTATCGCTATGGTACTTGCTGTGTTCTCCTTTCTTTTCGAATTCAATAGAGGGGAGTCAATAGAGATAAGCGAAAATATCACTATTCGTTACAGAGTCCTAGCCCAGGTTCCAATATCGGAGAATTGCCTTTCTCAGTCTGTCTGCTAAGTATATGCCGCGATACTGTGCGGGCTCCTACACCTGATAGAAATGCTGTTTTTCACGGCGGCCACTGCCAGTGTGTTTGTGACATTCTAGTTCTGGGCCCGCAACTTCCTTCCTTGAGGTAGATGTCAGGGGGTGCCAGGTAGAGCATCACTTCCATGGCCCTAGTTGCCGTTGTTCGTATTGCTCCCGTTATGGTAAGGCAGGCCACTCTCTGGACTTGAATTAGCTTACGCGTCACCGTTACTTGATGGCTTTTGGGTCACCAGACCACGACTCCATAGGCAATCATAGGTCTGATGATGGCAATGTAGATTCACATCACAACTCTAGGCTTGAGGCGTCAAGTTCTACCTACAGTTCTGCGGCACTGCTCAAAAAAAAAAAAAAATGGGGACCTCTATCGGATTTTTTGGGTGCCTTGCATAGGTTAACTTCAAATGTGAGACAGCAGTGATCGGACATTGTAGCTTGTGGTCTGACAAGATATGAAGGTTGTTACCAGTCTTTCCAGTCGTCTCTCAAGGTGAAGATTCCTTTTTTTTTTTTTTTTTTTTTTTTTTACGGATATGCGCACTCGCAAGGAAATGTCCTATCACGCTCGAGAAGCGGCAAGTGCGCGGAAATGTCGGTGTATGTTGGTCTTGAAACGGTTCAGGTCGTAACCTGAAGGGAAAACCGTCGCAGGGAGTTTATTCCACAGCGATGTTGTTCTCCAGAGATATGAATTCTGATATAATGAGGTTCTTGGTGCCTCTAGTTTGACAGTAAATTCATGGTTACCGTCTGTTTGACGGGTTCGCCTGGTAGGCGCTATTCTCGGTGGAATCATACGTGCCAACTCTTCAGAGCATTTTCCGTGATAGTACCTGTAGAAGAGAGATAAATCGCCCACAGATCTGCGATGTTCGAGACCATCCAAGTTACGAGTAAGTGCGGGGTCATTGATCAGCTTGATAGCTCGTTTTTGCACGGTATTCAAAAGCATTAAGGTATGTTTGGGTGCTGCACTCCATATATGTGAGCAGTACTCCATAGTTGGTCGAATTTGGGCTTTGTAGAGTGTCAGCAATTGGCTTGGTGTGTACAGATGTCTTGTACGAAATAGCACCCCCAGCTTTTGGGAGGCCCTTTTAGCAATATCTGCCACGTGACTGTGCCAGGACATGTTGGTCTCTGCAGTAACTCCCAAGATGTTCAACTGACTCTGTAATGTGACAGCACTTCCAGATAGCATGATGTTTGGCTCACCGGTGCTGGTCTTTTTTGAAAACAGAGCTGCTTGGGTTTTCTGCGCGTTGAACTGTACAAGGTTTTTGTTACCCCAGTCCTCTATTATCTCCAGGTCGTTATTTATCTGCGATATTTGAGTTAGTCTAAGATGATGGAATTCACGTGCGGAAAGACCTGTGGGTGGTATGAGTGAGGAGACTACATTGCCATCGTCTGCAAAGCAATAAAGTGGATTTACTGTTTTATCTATGAGGTCATTTATGTAAATCAGGAAAAGAGTTGGCGAAAGGATTGCTCCCTGTGGCACACCAGCATTTATTTGGTAAGAGTTGGAGTTCTGGCCATCCAGTGCAACATAAATGGATCTGTCCTTTAGGTAACTTTCAAACCAAGTGCAAAGTTTCGGCGATAATCCCATTGCTTTGAGCTTGTTGAGCAGATTTTCATGCCAAACTTTGTCGAATGCTTTAGATATATCTAAGGCAATTGTTCTTGTTTCACCCCGCAACTCAATCGCTTTTTGCCATAAGTGAGTGACGAATGTAAGTAAATCTCCAGTTGACCTATATTTTCGAAATCCGTATTGCTTATCGTTGATAATTTTGTACTTTTCCAAGTACTTGGTTAGGTGATTGTTCACAACTCTTTCCATTACTTTTGATATCACCGGAAGTAGAGCAATTGGTCTATAGTTTAACGGATCTGTCTTTTTTCCTTTCTTTGGAATGGGTTGTACTGCGGCAGACTTCCATGATGATGGATATACTCCTTGCCTGTAAGATAAATTGAATAATTTTGCGAAAGTTGGGGTGAGTTCGTTGGCGCAATTTTTGAGTACTATTGCGGGAATGCCATCCGGACCCATTGCTTTGTTTGTATCCTTGCCCCCGTTCTAATACTTGAAGGAGTGTTGAGAGGAACTCTCAAACTAACCCAAATGATCGACGCCAATACGTTATCAGTAGAAAATCTCTGAACCAACCCCAAAAAAATTGGGGTTGGCCCGGGTCAAACCCCCGAAACTTCAGATCAAATGCGCCGCCGATCTAGAGATTTTCCGGCGGTATTTAAAAAGTTCCCAGGCTCAGGTGCCCCCGTTCCAATCCTTGAAAGAGTGTTGAAAGGAACTCTCAAACTAACCCAAATGATCGACACCAATAATTCAACAGTAGAAAATCTCTGAACTAATCCCAAAAAATTTGGGGTTGGCCCGGGTCAAACCCCCGAAACTTCCGATCAAATGCGCCGCCGATCTAGAGATTTTCCCACGGTATTTAAAAAGTTCCCAGGCTCAGGTGTCCCCGTTACAATACTTGGAGGAGTGTTGGAGGGAACTCTCAAACTAACCCAAATGATCGACACCAATAATTCAACAGTAGAAAATCTCTGAACTAACCCCAAAAAATTTGGGGTTGGCCCGGGTCAAACCCCCTAAAACTTCAGATAAAATGCGCGCCGATCTAGAGATTTTCCCACGGTATTTAAAAAGTTCCCAGGCTCAGGTGTCCCCGTTACAATACTTGGAGGAGTGTTGGAGGGAACTCTCAAACTAACCCAAATGATCGACGCCAATACGTTATCAGTAAAAAATCTCTGAACTAACCCCACAAAATTTGGGGTTGGCCCGGGTCAAACCCTCCGAAACTTCCGATCAAATGCGCCGCCGATCTAGGTATTTTCCTACGGCATTTAAAAAGTTCCCAGGCTCAGGTGCCCCCGTTACAATACTTGAGAGAGTGTTGAAAGGAACTCTCAAACTAACCCAAATGCTCGACGCCAATACGTTATCAGTAGAAAATCTCTGAACTAACCCCAAAAAAATTTGGGGTTGGCCCGGGTCAAACCCCCGAAACTTCAGATCAAATGCGCCGCCGATCTAGAGATTTTCCCACGGTATTTAAAAAGTTCCCAGGCTCAGGTGTCCCCGTTACAAGACTTGAAGGAGTTTTGAAAGGAAATCTCAAACTAACCCAAATGATCGACGCCAATACGTTATCAGTAGAAAATCTCTGAACTAACCCCACATAATTTGGGGTTGGCCCGGGTCAAACCCCCGAAACTTCCGATCA